ACACTCCTAGATTCATACACGTATACTAGAGATCAGATCTCTTGTTACACTCATATATTCATACACGTATACTAGAGATCAGATTTCTTGTCACACTCATATATTCATACACGTATACTAGAGATCAGATATCTTGTCACACTCCTAGATTCATACACGTATACTAGAGATCAGATCTCTTGTTACACTCCTAGATTCATACACGTATACTAGAGATCAGATTTCTTGTCACACTCCTTGATTCATACACGTATACTAGAGATCAGATCTCTTGTCACACTCCTAGATTCATACACGTATACTAGAGATCAGATCTCTTGTCACACTCCTAGATTCATACACGTATACTAGAGATCAGATCTCTTGTCACACTCCTAGATTCATACACGTATACTAGAGATCAGATCTCTTGTCACACTCCTAGATTCATACACGTATACTAGAGATCAGATCTCTTGTCACACTCCTAGATTCATACACGTATACTAGAGATCAGATCTCTTGTCACACTCCTAGATTCATACACGTATACTAGAGATCAGATCTCTTGTCACACTCCTAGATTCATACACGTATACTAGAGATCAGATCTCTTGTCACACTCCTAGATTCATACACGTATACTAGAGATCAGATCTCTTGTCACACTCCTAGATTCATACACGTATACTAGAGATCAGATCTCTTGTCACACTCCTAGATTCATACACGTATACTAGAGATCAGATCTCTTGTCACACTCCTAGATTCATACACGTATACTAGAGATCAGATCTCTTGTCACACTCCTAGATTCATACACGTATACTAGAGATCAGATCTCTTGTCACACTCCTAGATTCATACACGTATACTAGAGATCAGATCTCTTGTCACACTCCTAGATTCATACACGTATACTAGAGATCAGATCTCTTGTCACACTCCTAGATTCATACACGTATACTAGAGATCAGATCTCTTGTTACACTCCTAGATTCATACAGGTATACTAGAGATCAGATCTCTTGTTACACTCCTTTATTCATACACGTATACTAGAGATCAGATCTCTTGTAACACTCCTAGATTCATACACTTATACTAGAGATCAGATCTCTTGTCACACACCTAGATTCATACACGTTTACTAGAGATCAGATTTCTTTATCGTACAACCATTTTTGAAATCAAGAGGGGCCTTTTCAATAGCTGTCTATCAAGTATGCAGCAAGGGAGAACGAACCGAGTTTTAATACAGTTATAACAAAATATGGTAAATCAAAATAAAGTATCGGAACAAAATGTTCACAAAATAATGCTGCCAAAGAGAGTCAGAACGAGAACGACGACGACGACGCGAAACTAAGAGTTAGGTGGTCTGTTTATACGTATCAGGATTATAAGGAATTGTCGAGATAACATATTTATCTGACGACCCATGTCACTCATTGTAGCATCACGAGTGAAAATAAACTGACAGAAGAATAAAAGGTGTGGTACAAGAAGTTACAATCTTAGAAATAAAAAAAAAGTATGAGGTTTATCGATTTGGGTTTCATATCTGCAAAAGAATATAAAACAAAAAACCACTCATTTCTATTAGTGCATTCATAGTCAAATATCGAACGGACCTGATAACATAAAAGGACATAAATGATATGTATGTGTCGAGCATAACTTATGACCTTCTTGTTTCCAGAAAAAGCCGTATAATATAACACGGTTTATTGCGAATTTCAGTGCATAAAAGTGGTTATATAGTACAGGGGAAGTGGTAGTCACTCTCCCGTCGTTTTCATAAATAACATTTGGGCCTTGCTTAACAATTGGCCTGTTCCACAGATCTGTTCCTTTGTGTTAGTAAACTGATTGGTTCAAATCGTAAACAGATTAGATACAATACAATATCTTCTTGCTCCTCCTGAAACCCCATAGTATACCACTGAATCTAGTGGTTGAAATGGGGCGTAAAATCATCTAGTCCTGTGGCAGAATGTAAATATTTTGTATTAAATATAAGCTTTTATAAGTTTGTTAAAATCTTTCAAACTTTCAATGTATTACTAGAGCGATGATGATGATGATGATATGTTTTGCATCAACTCGCAATCGCCTATCAAGGAACCATACAGTGTCTATAAATGGTGTACCATTATGTATGGAAATTGACACTTGAGCTTCGATAAAAGAACTGGGCAACTCGGCTTTCAAAAAACTAAGTGGGGGTAATAATAGTGTAAATTTGGAACAGTTCAATGCCAAGTTGAAAACGTATACAGGTGAAATATTACCAGTTATTGGACAATGCAAGGCTCCAGTCCGTTATGACAAATTCAGTGGAATACTATCAGCTGTAGTGGTCAAAGGAGACAATCCATGTCTGCTAGGTCGATATTGGTTACAACAAATCTAGCTAAACTAGAAGGAAATAATTGTGCTAAGGAACCTGGACTTGGCAAAGTTCACGGAACTAAAGCTAAGATTTACGAGGATCAGAATGAAAAATTGCTTTGTGCTTGAGGCAATGAACTGTGCTTAATGATAAACATATAGTGCTAAAAGAACTGTGCTTAACTTAACTTGAAGTGTGCCAGAAGTCCAATGTCTTAATTTATATTCTAGTCATGAACAGTTTGTAATACAAAACAAAACATACAGTATTGAAAGTTCGTTTAATGCAGAAACAGTCCTGAGACATTATTGGACAATGGGCACTCAGTAATTCAGTTAATTCTTACATTTATTTATGCCTCTCCACTTATAACAAGAATAATTCAAACAAGAAATGTGAGTTAAATGGCACCCAAAGGTGGTCGGGCAGGAGACCCCCATACCTTTTCACGTCCGATCGGGGAATCTAACCCCGGTCGCCTCGGTGAAAGGCGAGAGCGTTATCACCTGTGCCACCGTACCACCTTGATTGATTCCGATACAGTGAACACCATCTGACGACTCACATGTATAACTCATCAAACTATTATGTAGTACAGATGTACTGATACGTTGCAGCTCTTTCCATAACGTAGATTGACAATCTGTACCGAGAAATGACAAACGGACGGATGTACACAAACATCCTTCCTTATATACGCCCATAGTTTTAGGTAATTTGACAATGATTGTCTATTATCATTTTAACATCTATATATCTCAAACCTCTCATACGTCATACATACAACCTTTCTCTGTGACTATATACTGAACATAGTGTATACCATACATATATACATACTCCACACTAAATAGTAAATGTATGCACCATATGACAGTACCCAAACTAGATCACCAAACCATAGTTTATTGAAAATTCAGCGGATGAATCATATTTGTTTAATGTTGTATCAAAAGAAAAATATCGAAGGTTACTAAACACCATACACACAATTTATCATACATGGTTTTCATACTGTACACCATACATATAATCCACCATTTTATTAAGTGACCCCACTTGAAGTCTAGCACACACTAAGCATTGAGATAAACTCTTATTCCGGGAAAACAGGGTTGAAGGCTAATAAATGCATAAATAGACCATTTAAAATAATGACTGAAATTTTAACAGCTTGTGACGCCATTACCACTTATCTGGAATCCAGTACTTAATCTCTATCTATATCTTATTAGACCTTTAACCATAATAAAGCGCGATTTATTAGAAAAAATATTAATGGATAGAAAATATCCAATCCATAAATAAAAAATTGAATTAACACATAAAATAGTAAAATAACGAAATAGGATAAAACGTAAGAATATTACAAACAATCATAATGTAGGCTATTAAACATTGTATGTGGTTTGAAATAAACAATCATAAATAAGGATATTTTTTTATTAGATTTATTTATGTACTTATATAGTTACTTTTGTTTAGGATATCCTTTGAATTGAGATGATTTTATCCTTTTCCAGACTAAAATTCGCAGACAAATGTTATATATCTGCATATGTTGAGTTGACGTCTTCCCTGTCATCACCTAAATAAAATTCCAACTTTAACCCATAAATACTTAGAACAGCGTACACAAAGAATTCCTTTCTTTGAACTTACACTAACAGAAACGTTTGGTTTTGCTAAGGTTATATAATATATCGCGTTGGGATTTGCTCACAGACACAAGGACAAAATGACACCATAAATGTGTCTGACGAAAAAGGTACAACTAGATTGAAGTAAATATATACAGTGGTTCGCGATCATTATCATACAATGTAGCCAGTTAATATTTCGGTATTTATCTCATATATATCGTTAATTTTACTTTGCCACAATATATACACAAATGAAACAATTATCCAATACCAAATCAGCTAAACCTTGCATGTCGTGACATAAACATGTTCGATTAATCTAGCACCCGCGGGCGTTTTGTAATATAATTCACGATGGCTTATCAAGTTAGTAATGAAACAAAAAAACACGTAAGTTTGGTTTTGGAAATCGAGCACTTATAAAAGAATCAACTTGATGAACTTTGAATTTATTGACACCTAGTAAAACGTTTCTTACACTCCGCTCTGAACCGTCTGTCCATTATTCCATACACAATCGGATTAACAATGTTGTTGAAAATGTAAAATGTGTGTAAAAACCTGTAAAGGAGTAGTTGACCTTGTGGGACCGTTGACCAGAAATCTCTGTTGAGTGACTGTTCTATCATGAGCCACACCTTGGGACCATAGGTAACGATGTAGATGGACGTGATGAGGATAAAGATGACGGTAAGACGGATTCCCTGTCGGTCGGCACGGCTTTCCCTGCGTGCTACTGATCCTGCCATTGAAGCAACACTCTGGTTCCGTTTGGTGATCTTCCGATCAGCTACAGATCCCAAATGAGGCTGGTTTCTATTGAGAAGAGTTTGTCTTCCGTTTAAGTCGGTTTTATTAGATTTTTTGACATCTTCCGATTTGCTTCCTTCACTGTTTTGTTTATTCATTCCAATGCTTTTCCCTGCATCGTCGGTATAGGAGACAGAGGTAGCAGAAGTACAGGATACGACAGATCCCATTCTTTGTCTGAATTTTCCTTGCCTAAATATCACCCAACTAATGTTACCGTAGCAGAAAAACAGAATCACGAACCTAGTAATAGTCACTACAAACAGTGAGACCTTGTAGACCGTGTGACCTGTTGCCTGTCCTTTGTCTTTCATGTCAGTACATTGCCAAGCCTGGATTCCATACATGTTTCTCATTTTAGGTATCTCTTCTACTTGGTAAATACCGAGAGCAGGTACTGATAATACCAAGCCAAATAAAGTAATTACAACGATAATGGCTTTTTTAATGAATATTGTCATCTGCCGGCCAAAGGGTCGGCAAAGCTTGATGTAACGTTCTATAGCAATAACGAGAAGAAAGTCGGCCGATACACAGGCAAACAAGATACCCAGAAACGCTGCCATTTTACATCCGACATTATTGTCGAACATCAGCGGGTGCGTCTGGGCGTGAATCCCCGTCCCCGACGAGACAACACACGATATAAGGTCCATCAGCGCTAGCAAAGGAATGAAGTACCGGTCATCTCGCATGGGTTTCTTACGTGCCCAGTACACAAACATTACTAAGCTGTTTCCTAAAAACCCGATGACGAGATAAAACCATAGGACAACTGTCAATGGTAGAAGTGTCTGTGCTAAGTTACTGTTGAATGCATTTAACATATGTTGCTGGTTTACCTCTATATTTGGTGCCGTCGTGACATTGGTCTGGTTGAATGAAGGCTCGAAACTTAGGTTCATAATGGTGGTTGGAAGACCGAATCGCTGTTCCGTAGTGTTTAGGGTTGGTTGTGTACCAGAAGGTGTGCGACCGTCTCTTGCGTCGTGTTAAATCATTCAGATCCCGGAATTGTGTGTACACATCCTATAACGAATACACGCCTACACCCTTGCCACTCCATGAGTTATGCTCACTTACGCTCTCTGCATTCCTGTACAACGTCATGACGAAATAGAAGGCTCGGTTTATGCCACTTAGTTGATGAGACAAGAAGACTTATCTGACCCTTTTGTGTAAATCAAAAAAGATCCCGCGGTAACATAAAAGTAGACTCTCCTATATAATCTTTGAAGGAAAGGTATAAGCCTAGCGATTAGTCAGTATTTGTTTTATCTGAGAGCAATCAAATACCTAATCGCATAGTCCAAGGGTCCTGGAAGCGTGAGTAATTGTAACCCTCGGAGTATCGAAGATGACAAACACACAGTTTGCTGAGAACGTTATAGGTTTAATCATCTAGTCCTTAACTTGATCGTGGTTCCTTTGAAGCACCGTGTAGGGTATTACTACCATTTTACCTTGGCAAATTTTAAATCGTAAAATATACCAGATAAATAATTACTATACTTATTTAGTATATGATAGTTGATAAAGAGCACTCTATCTACCTCGAACAATAAACTCTCATATGTTTTACAATATAAAGATATGCAATCAATACAATATATTCAGCAACACTACTAGACTATTTTACAGAATGCTATCGGGAGTTAACTTATTTTGTTACACCTCAAGTGAATTTCTAGCTATTTGATTGGCTAGGAGAAAATTAAACAAAAATCTGTCATCCTCCGAAAACACATTGGTTTTAAGGGGCGCGGGTGATATTGCCATGAGACAGTGAAAAATATCACATGCGCGAAAAATGTGCGTTCACCGCTTCGTTTCCCCACCGTGATGGTCACAAGAACGTTTGGCGGCAACAGCCAATTTCATCAAGCGCCGGTGCGATAGCGATTGTAAACAGCAGACTATCAACAAACAAGATGTCATTATCGAGGTTTGCTGCCGTTTTTGAGCTACAAAGACTTTTGGTGTAACAAAATAGATATGACATTCATTAGCAGATAACAGTGAATATTGTCAACCCTCAAAAACCCATTGTCATCCTCGGCTTCGCCTCGGGTTGACAATATTCACTGTCACCTGCTAATGAATGACATATTTATATAGTGTCCCACCTATACTTCAGTGTTTATGAGTGCCTGTGTATTGGCTTAAGAAGTGTCGCTATTTTGAATGTTTGCCTTACGCATGTTAATCTATATTACGATGTAACTTTAGAACCAGAAGGATATATATGTACCGTCAAGCGACTTAACGTAAGTTTTTAAATTATGAAGGGCGTGATATAATTGTTGTATGTTATTATCGTTTTGTTCAACAGATAATCGTATAACAGGTATTCTGTCTATAGCAGCACAGCCAATCATGAAGTCATGAAACACAAGGTTCCATATGCCACGTAGCGACGACACGAGATGATGTATTACCAAACTGACGGAACTCATTTTGGTTGACTCATCGGTGCATGTCAACCAATCAAATCGACACGTTTGAACGCTTTTTACGATATGGTAACGTGAGGCCATTATTACGCTCTCTGCGTCGTTTTGCAACTATTGTTAAAATGCATTGTTACGAAAAAGGTAAATATTGTCCAAGCCAAAGGGAAAAGTTCCAATATACTTATGTACTACAACATGAAATCATTGGCACAATTCAGTGAATGTTTTCTTAACCAGAATATTACATGTTCATGTAATTTGAATCCACAGTAGTCTACACTCAAAGAAAAGTACAACAATCTTTTACCTTATTAGAATCAATGAATAAAACTATGAAATGGCAAAGATTCAACTATATAGTAAGCATCGTTTAAAATGTTACCCATATGTCTGATTCAACTAGTTGAGGTTCGGTAAAATGTTATTTATTTGCTCTAGAGGGAGATTTTAATCGGGTTTGTTATTTATTTTAAATGTATCATTGTATATTTTACAAGTTCAAAAAACTTATACAAAAAATTGACTACACTGTTAGAATGGACTGTAACTGCCACCGTGAGGCCGAGCCCCTATTCTAGTCCTACGTCCGGTGTGGCCGGAAGGATTTTAAGTCGATTAGCATTTTTATCTATAAAAACAATATTGCCTCCCCAAAAAGCTACCTTCAGCTTTCTCGTGGTGTTGTAAGTTGCTTTCCTGAAACAGAACTTCGAGGATTGGCTGTGTTAGGTGTCCGCACAACTAATAGTCATACATCAAACTTGTCATACTATGTCCTGGTTGCATTAGGTGGCCACTAAACTGTTTCAAACCTTTTTGTAGATTTGATGTAAGATTGTACAGCGAGAATATTATCGACATTTATTTGGAATGGAAGAGCAACATCGCCCCAAAGAAGAGTGTCGAGATGAGGGTCGGGCTGTATACCAATGTTTACAAAAGCATTCAGTCATCCTAATCGTATATTTGAATTTAGAACAGACAGAAAATACGAATCTCCATCACGATCACAACAGTGATAGACCGGTGATAAACAAATACCTACAAAAAAGCACTTTTAAGACCACTACAGTTATGCCTTATTCTTGATAAAGGACGGAAAGATATTGATACCCGGCATTCAAATATCCTGATAAAACGCGTGGCATAGGTGTTGCTTTCATATTAAAAATAGAAGTGGATAGAATATTTGTTAACTCCTATTCCGTCTTTGCGTATTGCAGAGTTATCTTCTCTTGGGAGAAGGTATTGATTGTTACGTCACTTGTTTGTGAGAGTAACGTCATCAATTTTTGGGAAAACGACGTAATTTTCTCGCACAAACCAATGACGTAACAATCAATACCTATTCCCAAGAGAAGATAACTCTGCAATACGCAAAGACGGAATAGAACTGGATTCAGCATAATCCAACACCAGTCACTTCATAAGCGCGATCTAGATGTTTGGAAAGATAAATTCCATTCTACGCTTGTTTTCTATATTATGTATATAAATATACCAATATATGGACTATGATTTGAATATAGAGGCAAATGTGCCTGCGTTCAGATTAAGCTAAGTTAAAATAAGTTAAAATAAGTTAATATTTATTTTGTGTCCCCTTCCCCAAGCTCACTGCCATTATCCTTGCTTTCAAATGTCCAATATAACATTAGATGGTCTGGGTTGAGTACAAACAAGATCATATTTCAGTAATTTATTTTTTATGATAGAAGAGTACAATTAAAACACAATTATTATTTCGTTTTAACATGAATTTATTTCCAAATTGTGATTTTGCATTGAGTATTGATGTAACAAAATAACATACGAAAATTAGTGCATATTTATTAAAATTATATATCAAAAAAATCCATTAATAATTCATTCATGAATTCGCTTAAATTATCTTCTTTGTCCTCTTTATTCCTTTCAAAACAACGTTGATGTTACAACTTTATTTCTCGTTACAATAGTATTCGAACGAAAAACGAAATCATATTTGGCCAATAGGCCTAATATCTTTAAAGAAGAGAGATTTAATACCGGTCGAGTCGATAGTGCTCTAACTTGTCCATTCCGAGGTATTTCTGTGGAAGCTGTGCTTCCAGGCAATGCCTCAATAACCATGCGGGAAGCAACCACAGCTCAATTTGTCTGGTGGTGTCGATTTAGTTCTGGAAGTAAAAAATGTTATCGCCAGGTCTTTGTATGGGCTGCTTGGTAAGACTATTTCACTTTTGCTACCTGCAAGGTATATTTGTTAGTCTGAAACACTATTAGTAGCTATCATTTTTGCACCTTACTATCAGTTCATTATTCTTGCCGAATCGTTAAATTTGGTGGCGGACGACCACTTAAAGTCATGCGCCATCGTCACTCCGCTTTTCTTCGCCTTCGTCTATCCTAGAGAGATTTTCTTCTGTACAGATAGAAACTATATCTCATAAGTTATCGCCTTTGTTTAAAGAGGTACAGGATTCTCTGTCAGGCTTTCGATAAGAGAAACTTATTCTTCAAGTTCAACACCATTAGTAAACTGAAGGGCTGGATAATTTGACACCTCCTTTAACATCAAGGTCATTAGTAAACAGAAGGGCTGGAGAATTTGACACCTCCTTTAACATCAATGTCATTAATAAACTGAAGGGCTGGATAATCGGATCCTCCTTCAACATCAAGACCCTTAATAAAACGAAAGGCTTGAGAATTTGACCCCATCCTTGCACAACCTGATTAACAACAGTTCAGTGTAGAACAGGCAGCAAGATGTCCAATTCCAGTGTATGGCGATGAGTATTGGTAACAACAGTCACATGCTGCATCAGACATTATGTAGCTCGGTGAACTGTCGAGTGCCAACATTGTATTGTGTTGATTGTCAAAGTTGGACTCAGGTCACTTAATGACATACCATCTGAATTGTCCCTCATCGGCACTATCAGAACAACTCATGTTAGCGACGTCTGTACACACATCATCTGAACTGGAAATCGGATGTTTCACACTTTGACTATCTTAAACAGGACAGCCACTCCGCCACCACGTCTACCATGTCGAGCATGGTTGAGGATTTCGTAACCTGTATGTACTAGAACAGCTAGTATGTTGTCATCAACGCGAGCAACATAAGCAAGTGAGTGTCTGTTATTGCCAGAACAACAATAGCCTGAGATGGTATGACGTGACCGACAGACAATGATCTTTGTCGAACAACAATTTCGAGACAACAAATTGAATAGAACTGATTTTGAAGGTTCGATTGTGAGACACTGGTATGAACAGATTTATTGATTCATGAAACCGTTCTCATGCTCAAACTATTGTTTGTACTAAAGCCCAATTTCTTGTTCTGACGATAAATAATTTTAAAAAAATCTTTCCATCATTTTGAACAAATTTTGGACGGATTTGAAGCAGAATACCAGTCTGATGTCTGAACTTGATTATTTTTAATGTCACGTGATTTTACCAAGTTATAAGACAAAATCCATACCAATATGATATAACCTTTTCTGTTTTCAGTTTGAAAGCGGTTGAAGATACATATAGTCGTAAAATCCCTACAATCACAAACGTTAATATAACACTATGTTTATCAGAGATTAGAAATTGATT